CACATCAGCAGCTACAAAACGACGCCCAACACACGTCGCAGCTCTTCCTGAAGCGCCCGCAATTTGTCGTTGAAAATACGTGCTGAGCTGCCCAAATTTTCGTTCATATTTTCGAATAATGATTTCAGATTGACTTCAAATTTTATACAACACTGTTCATATCTTTGATACTAATTTTCATGCACTTTGCCGATTTTTCAAGGTCGATTTAGTATTTTAATTTTCGATTTAAAACCAAAACTGAACCGAGCTGTGCTAGAGAAAATGGAAGTCAAGTCGCTATATTTTCATCAAATGACCACCGATTGAGATAAAACCTCCCGCAAGAATGCTCCAATGTCTCATGAACAATTTAATGTGCCTGATTTTTCTTCTTACTGTGCGAAATTTCAAATAAATTGGTATATGCGTGGTATCATCTCGCTGTCCAGTCTTATGACATTCGGAATTTCCCTAGGGAAACGCTGAAAACGTACTTCGTTGATACATCAAAACATGCTTCGTCGATAGAATTCGAGAAAAATAAATACGTCTAAAATCATAAAATACTCTTTTAATACCATTTACATGCATGTATTACCTAACGAAGGCCGAACAGAGATTTTATTAGAAAATTTGATAATAACTTTTAAATGAAAATCGTCATTTCACATTCAACGGAAATACTCTTATTTTTTACTTCTTACCCGATTTTTTTCATGATGCACTGTAATCATTTCACTACGATTCTACGCATATTAAATTATTCGTTTATAACATAACACGTTTGCAACGTAACGCGTCTGTAACGAGTAACGTAACACGTGGTGGCGTGCTTCAAATGTAAATAAACTAGAATGCTGGGCGCCTTCTCACTTCTTATACCGTTATATAAGTGTCATATGTCGAAAATGTATATTTTAATCTTCTTGAAAAGGTCTGCGACTTGAGAATTTGTGGTCAATTGATTCAAAATATTGCTGGTAAACTGGAAAATCGGGCTGTTTGTGATTGGCAACTTTAGTGTCATATGTCAAAAAGACAAAAACAAATATTTTTGATCTTGATATAGAATATTGCGGCTTTATAATAAACTGACATATGACACTAAAGTTGTCAATCAGCTTAGTCAGTTAGTGGCAAAACACAGATTTTTTAGAATCATTCCATTTTCAATTTCCTCATCCAAAGACTCAACCCAATTAATGTTTATTGTATGATGATGCTGGTAGAGTGGTTTCCATGATATTTTACTGGTCTACCTATAGAACNAGCACGGGTGCTCATGCACCGGAGCGATGAGCAACATCGCGCTCCGGTGCTCGTGTAAAATTCCACTCGCGGTGCGTGGGGCGCGAAAGGCAATGTTAGCCTAATATTATAGTTTTAAAACCATAATGTAAATGTTTTTATGGTTTTAAAATCATAATATAAAGGTTTTTCATGATTTCAAAACCATAATATAAGGAGTTTTCATGGTTTTAAATTCATAATACAAGTGCTTTTCATGGTTTTAAAACCATAATACAAGGGTTTTTCATGGTTTTGAAACCATAGTTTAAGGCATTTTCATGGTTTTAAACCATAATATAAGAGGTTTTCATGGTTTTATAACCATAATATAAGGGGTCTTCATGGGTTCTAAACCATAATATAAGAGTTTTTCATAGTTTTAAAACCATAATAAAAGACTGTTTCCGTCCAAAACTCGTTCAAAGCTACCCTCTCGTTTAGCCACGTAGAAGAATTACGCTCTGGCACTGGGATTAGGGGTGATTCCCCACTGGGGTTAGGTGAAGTCAGGACCAGGTTCTGTTGATGATAGCTGATTGCTGAGGCCCACTGGGGGTTAGGTCAAGTCAGGAACAGGTCCGGTTAGTGTGATTCCCTACTGGGGTTAGGTCAAGCCAGGAACAGGTTCTGTTAGTGATAGCTGATAGCTCAGGCCCACCGTGGTTAGGTCAAGTCAGGAACAGGTTCGGTTAGTGTGATTCTCCCAACTGGGGTTTGGTTAAGTCAGGAACAGGTTCGGTTAGTGTGATTTCCCTCACTATGGTTAGATCAGGTCAGGAATAGGTTCGGTTAGTGATAGCTGATGGCCAAGGCCCACTGGGGTTAGGTCATGTCAGGAACAGGTTGGGCTAGAGTGATTCCTCACTGGGGTTAGGTGAAGTCAGGAACAGGTTCTGTTGATGGTAGCTGATTGCTGAGGCTTACTGGGGTTAGGTCAAGTCAGGAATAGGTTCGGTTACTGTGATTCCCCCCACTGGTGTTAGGTCAAGTCAGGAACAGGTTCGATTAATGTGATTCCCCCCCCACTGGGGTTGGGTCAAATCAGGAACAGGTTTGCTTAGTGTGATTTCCCTCCCCACTGGGGTTAGGTCAAGTCAGGAACAGTTTGGGTTAGAATGATTCCTCACTGGGTTTAGGTGAAGTCAGGAACAGGTTTGCTTAGTGTGATTCCCCACTAGGGTTAGGTCAAGTCGGGAACAGGTTCTGTTAGTGATAACTGATAGCTCAATCCCACCAGGGTTAGGTCAAGTCTGTAACAGGTTCGGTTAGTGTTTATCCCCACTGAGGTTAGGTCAAGTCAGGAATAGATTCCTTAGTGATAGCCGATTGCCAAGGCCCACTAGGGTTAGGTCAAGTCAGGAAGAGGCTAAGTTTCGTTGAGGCGTTGCGGGTCATTGACTTTTTTTTTTTTTGACGAGTGTAAATAAAAGACTAATTTTGCTTTAGATAGATTTGTTATCTAAAGCGAATGAGACACGTTGTGAGAGGTGTGTTCAGGTAAAGAATAAAGGAATCTATGGTAATAGAAGTAAAATATGGTAATAAAGAAAGAGTTAGGGGGGTTTTGAGTAGGTACATCGGGTTATAGTGTCAGCAATTACGCTCGCATCGCATTTTATTTCATTCCCTTGCAAAATAGATTATTTAAGCAGCGCGGGGAATTGTGCGACGATTGACAAACCATATCTCTTCAGTTGTCATGTTTAATGAGGGAATTGAATTGCTATCGTATAGACATAAGACAGTTATTGAAAATCCTGCATTTTTTTGCAAAGCAAATTGTCGGTGACTGCAGGAAACAAACATGTCAATCTTAATGTCAGCCAATTTTTTAACGAATTTCGATACGCCTCGTGAGCAACCTCTCGTATTTACATCCTAAACATTCATCTTTGCTTAAAATTATGGCCAATAATTGGAAAGAGAAAAAAGCCAAGTAAATTTACCACACCTTCATTGCGAACGTTTTGTACCATAATCGGATTGAAAATTGCAAGGAATACAAGTACAATCAATAAAGAAAACCAAACCGCTTGCAGCTCAAATCCTCTTAAAATCGTCTACATACAAATTTTAATGTTCCTTAAAGCTGTAATTTAGCACTTTATTCTAAGCCATGCATGTGAATCTTTTCAATCAGCCATGTGAATGAACTCCCAGAGGATAACAAATGTTCGCCCTCCCTTCATGCATCATCAGGAATTAGGTATCGTGCAGCAACAATTTCCAACAGCGTCAGATGCATGAATAACGAGCGTTGACTAGCTGCTCGGAGAGCAATTCATGCATACCCTCCCACCATCGGGCCTGGCGCACAACTGATCAGAAAGTGAAGAAAGCCTTATGGCTGCGAAGGGGGAGAGCCGGGGCATGGCGTTATAGGGACGGCGGTTTGCGCTTTTGCCCGTGGAGTGCGGCGGGATTACGCCAGTCCTGCAAATAGCAGAGCATAAGGTAAAAAATGTCCTAATTTAGTCCGTTGACGTTGCGTGGTGCCGACAGCGTGGCTTTGTTGTCTGAACTCTTCTTACTCTTAATTTTTAGCTACATTAGATCAGCAGCGTTGCCAACTGGCATTTTTTCATACCAGATTTCACAAATTTGGTATTTTGAGACAGTATTTGCTATGGATATTTTTGATCCGGTATATTTGATAAAATCTTATATATATTTGGTATGTTGCCAACTGGTATGTTTTCATCCAAAATTTCACTAATTTGGTATTTTGAGACAGTATTTGGTATGGATATTTTTGATACTTGTGCCTCGGACACGTACAATATCGAGATTTTAGATGACATTTGAGAAATTTTGTTGAAAAACTTGTGCCTCGGGTTCCTCTTTTTGTGGAAATGACCCCTCCAAGCTACTACCGAGATGAGCCTTTATCTGCGATCCATAGTAGGAAATTTGGTCAATTATGAGATCTAAATCCACTGGCATAACGGAATTGCGTTCTTTTCAATTTCTAAATTTCCTTTTTTTTTCTTTCTGAATTGGATCAAGCTAAGATTCATCATCAAAATCATTTAAGTATAACTGAGAGGTACTTTTAGAGAGCTGTAATTTTTACACCATATTGCAGAGAGTTCTTTTCGAGTTACAATTACAGAGTAAAATACATTAATAATTAAGCTTAGAGATTCGCCCTAGAAAATTAAGCCATTTAGGATATTGTTCTAGTAAACTATGTAAAATAGGTATGAAAATAAACTTAGATGAATGAGATGAAAATTTACAAGTAAAATACCCTATAATATGCTAGCAAAGGTGAAATAAATTTCAAATTTGATAACGATGACGCTAGTAAATTTGCCAGAAAAATGTACCAGTCAAATGTACTTGTAACTGATAATAAAAAAGCAGTTAAAACGTAGCAGTAAAATACCCTTCACCATTGTGCAAATTAAATTAACTGCAGTAGGTAAGTAAGTTTCACCTCTGATGATAGAACTTCCCCCAGGCAGGCAGTATAGGTCATGTTTTTGAAGAAAGTGTCAGAATGTTACGAAACAAAAGAAAATTAAATGACCAATGTTCAATTTTGTTAATTAAGGAAAATTTTTTGTATATCTGGTATGTTGAGCTGGTATACTCGACGAGAGAAAACGGTGGCCACACTTTGGAGTCTGAGGTGTATCCCACTATAATCCCAGCCCCAGGATGTCTCGATGTCAGACAGTCACAGACTCACTGTCACAGTCAGACGTCAGTAGCTTGGCGGCTTTGCTCACATGTGGTGAAGGTACCTCAACGTTTCGAAACCTTATACCAACGATATCTGCTCTAACCTCAAATAAACAATTTTTATTTCTAAGACGGATTACGATCTAACCATGGTGAGTCCTTTGGTCAAGGTAGTTCTCATTGCCATGCATTTTCTTTCAATGAAATCCTTTGACTTTAGTGAGGTTAATTATCACTTCATTGAATCCAGAAATTCCCAGAATTGACGGTGGCAATACTTCAGACTTCATTGTGTTTGATTTACGATTTGCTATCGTAGTTCTGTTATAATTATAATGCGAGAATTATGAAACTATCTCCTGAGACTGAGGTTCCTGTTGAAATATTAGAAATGTTTTATTTCGTAATTGAACGATACAAACTACGAAGTTGCATTGCGGCAATCTCGATTGCGTTTTACGTTTGATTGAAAAGGAAGACTGCCGAATTTATCATTCTACAGTGTGCACTAATTTTCAGGAGGGCATCTCCCTGATTTATTGGCAGACTTCCATCTTTCGTCATAGTCAAATCATATAAATCAAATTTCACGTAAGTCCGTTCTGAATTGAAGGTGTCAAGAGAAGGGGAATTACTACTTGTTCGATAATTAAGATTTTGCGTTTTATTCGGAAATGAAGCAACGTAAAAATTCGCGAAAATTACAAGACCGGCAAATTGCTATTGACAACTCTGGTTCCTAATTACATTCATATTCATATAGAATTAAAGGAGTTAGAAGCTTATGTTATAAAAATGCGTTTCGTGTTTGAGTCCGCATATGAGATGGGAATGCCGATTAGGTGTTGTCACGTCGCTCGGCAGTTCAAGCAAGACAGATTTTGGACATGCAACTTCTGCACTTTGAAAGTGGAACTTGTGGAAGTGAACAAGCTCTGATCTTCGTCATATTTAGAATTTACGAACCATTTGAAAAATATACTAGAATTATCTACAGAAAGAAATACTTTATTTCTATTATAAGAATTTGAACGATTACTATTTGTCAATATGGAGTTCGCTTCTATAATTGTACAAGGTTTACTGAGTCGGGATAATGACGTTTACTTGTTTACAAGCAAATGGGCATGGCTCTGCTGGTACTATCCAAAGTTTGTTCTTTACCAGTAAGCATCGCCTCTAGGTTGAAAATTAAGTTATTAATTCAAAAATGCTTTCTATGATCGTAAAATTGGCCAAAATCGGAACACACGTCATCCAGGAAATATGAATTTGTCGAGAAATGATCCAGAGCTCAGAGAATTTTCAACGTTAGATTAGTAATTTTTGAAAATCGATTGTTGGAATTTTTTCGCTCGGTAGCTTGTTATAACTAAGGAGTATTTCTTCACAAGAGCTGGAGTGCAACCATAAGAAAACGATAAGAAAGTTTCCGGTGTCTGACAGCAATCTACTAGAATATCCTGCCGCACTGAGAGATTGACAACAGCTTTGTTTACTGATAATTTAGAAAAAAATGAAAATAATTGAATAATTTTTTAAATCCAGCGCAGTACGGTATCGTGTATGCGAACGCCCGCGTGAATGTTATTGATGTTCCTGCTAAGGAGACGCTATAGTTAGGTTACATGTGGAGAAAATCTCTTACTTCGTTCGTTTGGTGTGCTGGCCTTCTAAAAAAAATCCTTATTTTTTCCTTGATGATATGAATTTAATGAAACCTTTGGAGAGAGGAAGCTGTAGAGTTTAAGACGGTACTAGTTCTAATTGCAACTACGACATTTAAATTATCGCGTATACGGTACTGTTTATATGTACCAAACTTATAATGTAGCTTATAACTTATAATGTATTAAACTTATGTAGAAATCAATGTAAATAATTTCTTTTCGTCTTAACACTGACATTAAAAAGAAAGTTTAGTTGCCGCATCCTATGCAGCGTTCGTGCACACGTTTCGCATTTTGCATCAATATATCTGGTCGAAAACAGCGGAAATTTTCTCAAATTGTGAAAAATTCTGCTATACTGCATGTGTTTATTAACTTCAGGAAATTAATGCTATAAAGTTAAGTCATTGAAGATAGACGGACTTGATTTTTTAAAACAATAAATGCATAGAATTCTCAATGCACTTTGTGGTTGTTAGGATTAAGTTTTGCTTGCATAGCCCGGTTAAAAATAGAGACATGCGCAGACCGACCCAATCTGTAACGCTTGCCAAAATATCGATCGTGCTTTGTAATCGTCCTTCATAATCGCTGACCAATTCAAAATTCAACTAGGAGTCACTTCCTATGTCACCTATTGACTAAACTTAAACCTTGTGAAGGGATTAAAGATGACTTGTCTCCGGCTTCCATTCGTACCATTCGTGAAACTAAGTCTTCAAAAGAAAACTCGCAGTGACATTCTATTAATTTTTTCGATAGTTTCTTGGTATATAATCGACTGCACAAGTTAAACTGACCTCGTACTTGTGTTCAGTACAAACAACGAAAACATTCGGAATTTGAAAATAGATGATTCTCCATAGATAATAGATATGATACTCGGGTTTTCTCTACCTACAAATTTGTTCACTAATGTTCAACAACACCTTAAATTTGATTTTATCGTGGAATTTAAGTTTAAATTATTTAATTTGTTCGCATGATCCCCAACTATTTTAATGACACAATAGGTCGGTGGGGATTATCTGAAATTTCTTCGAATTTTTCATTTATTTTTATGTTACGAATATTCTGTTCAGTGAACAATCGTCGAAAATCTGTAAAAAGTTGCGGAATTGATTTTTCAAACCTACCAAACAAATAAATTTCGAATTTCAGGCTCGACCAACCATCCGACACCTGGGGAACTTCGACCCCTCGACAGACGCGGCGATGCTGAGGAAGGCCATGAAGGGCCTCGGCACCGACGAAGCCTCCATCATCAACATCCTCGCCAACAGGACCAACGACCAGCGCCAGAAAATAATGCTGGCTTTCAAACAGGCTTACGGTAAGGTAAGGAAATATAACGGTTGTGCCCATGCGGTGTCAAAGACCGAGCATCATATCATGTTTCCAAGACATATCATGGAAACGAATAACGTTAATTGCGATAAAATACGAGTTTTTGATTGGAAAACATCGAGTCACCGACATCAGTGCTTAAACGAAACCTGTTTGAAGTTAACTGGAAGCCTGTGTAATAATTCATGCCGATTATCGCCTCTGATCAGTTTTCCGTTTTGATCACCTACTTTTCAGCTCTTTCATCTCCTATTCTCTCAAATTTCTACAGTTTTCATCCCAAATCAGAAAACTTTTTTAGACCACTTTCTTCCTCTGCACATATTTTTTAGATTCCTCTCATTTATTGTAATAGTGCATTCCCGGTCGTCTCTCTTTGGTCCTAAATTTATTCATACTTTCCTATTTCGCTAAGTTTTAAAATTTTCCATGGATTTGCCTATTCTTTTTCACACGTTATTCAATGTTATTACCACACTCATGTTCATCAGACTATAATGGCAACATTTCGCTCGTTCCATTTCCTTTGTATTTTGAGCCTCTTTGTAGGTAGCTATGATGACTAGCCGTAAGACGGAATTCCTTTCTAGTTATGATGTACGACCGTGAAACGGTACGCGGAATGCATCCTTAAACCTCAGTAATTTGGGCCTGACCAAGTACAAGCTCATTCGCATGTCCCGAACATGTTTAGTATATACATGCGGAAAGGACGTGCGCATGTATTTGGATATACCTACATGCGCTTATACGTGCGAAAAGGACGGAGAGATTTGGCTACAAAGTTGCGTATGATGCAATGTTCCAGTTCAGCCCTGTGAAGCCTGGTATTGAATATTCAATAATCCACCGCTTTTTTCACATTTATTTCGTCGCTGAGAGCTGTTCGAAGGAACGTATTTAAATGGATAAAGTATTGTAATTAATATGAATCAATTAATCAAAATGGTTACTATCAAATTAATAGCTACCAGGTGAATATAACGAGTCCCTCCAGGCAAGAGTTGTTGAAAGTTAATTTTAGAGTACCTGCAGATGTACAAGGAACGGGTTGAGTACAAACGCATCTTAATGATTATCAATATTTGGCGAGTACCTAATTAAAAACCGAAAATTTTGGCCCTTACGCATAGCGTTATAATGAAATTCTGTTGACTAGTGTGTCAACTGGCAGTGGTCGTGGTGTGTGTAAGAAAATTTCCCACCATTAATAATTTTGTCGTTCTTTGGTTATTTTGTTGGGTAGATTTTGTTTGTAGCGCATTTTTTCATTTATGGGGAAAATGCCCTATTGTGCTCGTCATGTCCGTCCGTCTGTCCGTGACTTCACGTTTTCGTTGACGATAAAATGCGCTCTCTGTCGCTCACTGCAGTGAGTACTGAGTTACATTTTTTATGTTGTTTGCATGTTTCGTAGTTTAAGTAGGTAGCAGTTCAGCTAGAGTAAGATTCATGTACCAGCCATCATTTTATTCAGTCGTCCAATTTTCGCTCAGCTTTCAGAAGCGTAACAAACTCAGATATCAATTCACTTTTGGACGATTTAATCATCAACTTCAGCCGGCACCGCATCAGCTGTTCAATAAGTTCTACATATCTTCATAAATTGCTATTTCACTATCGTTTTGTTTGCATAAATGTGCTATTTATTCATTAAATTTATTTACGCTCTGTAATAAATTATTTCTATGGTATTCTAGACAAATGAACGATCAACTATTTAATTTTCAAGTCTCGTCTTATTTGTAAACGTGGTCACCAGTAGTGACCGAGTAACTAGTTTGCTCTGCTGTAACCAACGTTTCTAATTTTTTTCCTAAAATTTTTCCAAAGCCAAATCTTCAACTGTACTTTCCTATTTTCCGTCTAGAGTACCATCCCTTCCACTGATTTCTTCTATGTTCATAATTTGCCACCTTCCAACAGCATTAACACTGAGATGCATCCAAATCTCAGGTTTGTTTATTATTTTTGATACATTATTCATTTTTTGATGAATATTCATACGTAATTTGTACATTGTACAGGTAGGATTTTTCACCGATCGTAAACAGTGTTAATTACTTTGCAGTAAAGGGAACCCATCAGGACAACGTCATTACGGAACTTTTTCGCGGGATTCGATACAACCGTTTTTTTTATAAATGGTCAACTCTTCCGTTTTGGTTCTATATACTACTCCAGCATATAAACCTTCTAATTCAGCCACCTTATTATACTGGCCATATCACTGCCAGTAGCGTTGCAGATCGTACATGATCAATAAATATCAGCTGCATAAATGTTTTATTTGTCCGATTGTGTGAGATAGGGATAATTACTTACAGCGAACAATGTGTTTTATAAATAGTAATGGATTACAGCATTTTAGGTAAGGGATGGCTTTAACATTGTGGTTGCTAATGGCGTGTAAACGGCTATTTAATTGTAAACTTTTATTGCTTCTTTGACTCCCTAATCTTGCTGGTTAAAACATTTTTTCAAGGTTGCGTGAAAACTTCAATTAGAAACCATATTTAGTTTCAATTGCTTCTCTTTCAGGACCTGACTGATGAACTGAAGAGCGAACTGGGCGGTAAATTCGAGCGCGTGGTGCTGGCGATGATGTTGCCCACGACGGAGCTGCTCGCCGACCACCTGCACGAGGCCATGAAGGGCGTGGGTACCAACGAGGACACCTTGGTCGAGATCCTCTGCACCCGCAACAACAAGGAGATCAAGTGCGTATCTGGCCAAGTATTAATTCCAAAAAATGAATTTTGGAGAAAGAAAATAGGAGTGAAAACAGTCCGCGACATTTTAATTTTTACGATAAAATTCAACACGTAACTTTGACAAGTTGACAGGCCTTTAACATATGGTGCCTTAACAGATGTAAGTGGGATTCTGTTCGTAAGAAATACATTTAATTGTTCTAAACATTTTTCGCAATTGTGTTCGATAAAACGGCAATGAACAAACGCCGTAGTGTTTTTTAGATTGTTGGCTGTATCTGCTGCCCAATTACTTCCGAACTTTCACGGCAGTGAACTGAAGTCTGTGTACGAGCAAAAGTACGGTAAGTCTCTTCAGGAGCGCCTCGAGAGCGAGACTTCAGGCCCTTTCGGCAGCCTTCTCATCTCCATGACGACCGGCACCAGAGACGAAGAGAACACCAACCTGCAGCTGGCGCCTCAGCTGGCACAGCAACTCTATAAAGCTGGTGAGTCGTTGGGCTTAACCCTCTACCACCTGACATGAGTAACCGGAGCAATATTGTCACAAGTCTACTTCCCAAAAAGGATACGTTCTAGTGAGCGCAAAATGACTTGCACTGATGGTTGCCGCCACGTACAACATTAAAATGTTCTCTGTTGCCTACAATGTACAAACATCCTCAGGTTGATACACTCAATAGCTTACGTATGATTTAAGTTAAAAGTTATGTTCCCGGAGATTGACGTACGGCGGTAGAGGGTTAAAATGCGTATTATTAACCTTGGATCTTGTGCGCACACATCATCTGTAATTATCAGCTGAATAATATTTGTAGTCGTTCCTTCACTCCATGTCCGAACTTTCGTTTAACTTTGGTGGCCTGGACATCACAGTCACAGTAACCTGCTAATGTATGTCTCGTATTGATCTTGGCTTGGCAGGCATTTTTGGTGTTTTCGGCGGGCGTTGACCGTGCCGGCTAGTAAAATAGATTAAATCAAATTACCAGAAGGCAGAAGGCATTTGAATCACTATTATTTACCTAGAACAACAACACACAGTGAACCACACTTAATCGTAGATTAATCTCCTAATATTATGGCTCGATGCTTTCATTCACAGTTTATAAAAACTCAGATCTCCAGAGATATCCAGCCTTTCAGAAACCTGGACTAACCTCCAAATATGGCTTGTTGCTTTTACTCAAATTTGGCCCATAAGTCATGCCTGTTCGCCCCCTTTTCCCTTTGTTAATCTATTTTTCTGCCCTGCGTGCCCAACGACCCCGTGAAGATATTTAATAGTGAAGACTGAAATATATTTAACCTAATGCCTAGTGAGCAACTTTGCATGTGAAGCTGGGGAGTCGTGGTGTCTAAGATTTATTGAATATCATGTCGGACCAGAAAATTGGCGACACCCTTGCCTTACCCTCACTCTCAAAGGTCTAAAATATATTGTTTGTTGGCGGTCGCATCAGTGATGCGCAAGCCAAATTCTTGAATTTATAGCTTTATTTCAATATTTTAGGATTTATTAAGCTTTAAACTATATTCGATTCAAAAATTTTGAGTAACAAAATTTCCCCATCATAGGTGAAGAAAAGGTCGGCACTGACGAGTCTGAGTTCAACAGGATCTTGTCATGTTACTCCTACAATCTACTGCGCTATGTCTTCTATGAGTACGAGAAAATAAAGGTCCGTGAATACTAGGAAAAAATCTCAGTCTGCTCGATTATCTTTTTCGCTAGTTACGTAATCTCGGGCAAGGCAATCAAAGAGAGTATACATTTGTCAGATTTTTTAGATTAGGTGCAGTTCAAAGTTTTTCCTGTAAAAGTTTAGAAAACTATGTCAATGTCCTACAAGTCTATCCTGTATTCTATAAATAAAAGCCAAGTCTGCTTGATGTTGTTGTTCTCTGATTTCACAGGGCAAGTCTCTGATCGACGCTATCAAGAGCGAGTTCTCAGGCGACATACAGAACGGCCTCATAGCGGTTATCTCGAGCATTGAGAACCGACCTCAGTTCTTCGCCAAGTGCCTGCACGATGCCATGAAGGGAGCTGGCACCAAGGTGAGAACAGTCAGGCTATTGGTATCAAGGTGAGAATTAAGGGGTGGCCGGCACCAAGGTGAGAATCAAGGGGTGGCCGGCATCAAGGTGAGAATCAAGGGGTGGCCGGCATCAAGGTGAGAATCAAGGGGTGGCCGGCACCCAGGTGAGAATTAAGGGGTGGCCGGCACCAAGGTGAGAATAATGAGGTGGCCGGCATGAAGGTGAGAATCAAGGGGGTGATCGGAAACCAAGATGAGAACAGTCGAGCTATTGGTACCGAATTAAGAAGGCCAGCACCGAGTTGAGAACAGTAAAGCTACTGGTCCGAAGTAAGAAGGCAGGCACAAAGGTGGGAAATATCAATGAGGCCGCCACCAAGATGAAAAGAATCCAGGGGAAGGGCCACCTATCTGAGAACAATTATGAGGCCGGCACTAGGGGTGAGAAATAAAAAATCTTGGGGCGGCACCAAATTCAGAAAAATCAAGAGAGGCGATAGTGAGTTATCTAATAGCGATAGCTAGGTGGGTTCGCGAATGTAGTGTCTACCTTCTCGACTAGGTATGGCTATGAAAATAGATGCCCAAGTTAGGGTATTGAAGTGATCATCTGTGCATACTCCGTGGCGTACCAATACGAGCTCCAATTACCTTTCTAATGCTACGATGTTGGTGCCTGACTTCTTTAGGAAGATTTGTAGCTGCATCACAATGACGGTTCAACTGTGTGTTATATTTCCCTGTGAATAGTTTTTTTTCTGATCCCAACTGACGGGACAAATTAGTGGAGATATTTGTATACATGTTTCTTAACTCATGACACGCATCGTACTTCATTTTCCATAGGCTGTTTCACAGTGAGATAACTGCTAATCGCGTTTTAGTTGTAATTTTGTTTACTAATGCTCGCTAAGGAATTTTTATTGAATTAGTGCTCCATAGGAAGGTACATTACTCCTCGATCTATTCAATTATTTTATTTTAACATCCACATCCCCTGATCCTGAATAATCTTTCTATTACCTACACAGGATGACGTGTTAATCAGGCTGATCGTGACGCGGGCCGAGATCGATTTGGGCACCATCAAGCAGGAGTATGAAAAGCTCTACGGCGAGAGCCTCGAAAGCCACATTAAGGTGAGATATGTAGAGCTCTACGTTTTTTGTTAACTGGAACATAATCTGATTGCAGATTTTACACAAAATCGGTCTCCCCACATGCCATATTTTGAGCAAGATTTAACTGGAGATTGACACATTTGAACATGCATTGAGCTGTCCTTTGTTATTGTAATTCTAGACCTCATTTCATCTATATTATCGATGAACTCCTTATCAGGTATTCTAGAAATAAGCGTTGCAGTAGGAATATCGAGATGAAATAGTTGTTGTTGAAATGTGAATTGGGGTGAAATATAATCTTAAAATTTACGTTTTTTTTTTGTATTCGGTTCTTTACGATCCACAAAGCTTTGTCTAGGGGATAATTCTGAATTCACAGGGGAAATTTGTAGCAGTACAAGACGAGCCGTCACGTCCTGGACAAAATGGAGCTTTGCAATTTCCTAAAACACCTCCATCTACTTCCACCTACATCACTTACTTTCTTAATTAATACTTTCTCAATGGAACTATATTTTAACTTCATTAACAATTTCAGCGGCTACTAAAACATTGCTGTAGTTTCATTGTATTCAGTACACGTGTAAGTGACCATGAGCAAGGTTTCAACAACAAAAATTAATGTGCTCGCTATCAATTACGTACGCTAATGTACTCAATTAAGTGCGTACGCTGATGGAATCGCCTTCGTGCAGAGTGAAGTTTCTGGAGACTACGAGACGTTGCTCCTCGCCTTGGCTGACGGTTGAGCGGAGGTTGTACACAACCCAATGAAATAACGGGTGTAAATTGAAGGTGTAAGGGTAGGACGAGGGTCAACGGGAGAGCAAAGCAATGATTAAAAAATCTGAGGACGGGGATAATAGAATCAATTGTGGCTTCATCCAGTTTTCTTCAGAAAAAATGGACTTCAGGTCGTCGCTATGGAAAAAATTGTTGCCGCATATGTCAGTATTTTTTTTTAAAATAAATATGAATGCTACGTGGAGATGATATTGTGTGAACGCTTCTATATGCACGCTAAAGGTTATGAATGATTTATTATAAACGATTGATACATACATCACCAATTCAGTGATAGGCAAATACAATATGGTAAAGTTTCTAACTGCAAAAATAATATAAAGCAACCAGCATAATCTCGCAATTCGTTTGCATCTATTCGAATGAATTACAGCGCTGGGCAATTTAGCCACGTAGAGAATCCATATTTGCAGTCGGTTAGCCTATTTGCTAGGCATTACTTTCTCACATGTAAGGTAAAGGAACGGTTGCAACATTCGGTGGTTCTGAGCATTTCATTTTCACAATGAATGGTACAATGGAGCACGTTTTTTTAACCTAATTAACGGAAATACGACTATTTTACTGGAAACTTTTTTTAAAGTCTTCACAAAAAAATTAGCGGTACAAAAATCACTTGCATCGCTTACATTATTCATACAGATGATACTTATTTGCAAAGCTAGCGGGAATACGGTTGGCCGATGCAGCAAATGCACAATTAATTAACTGAAAATTTTCTGCCTGAACGTCGACAGTTTGATGCCTGTTTTATTTGTCCCAAGCTAATTGTTGGAGTAAAAAAGTTACTAATGAAACGTGCCATGATTTTATGAAATTTTTTAGCGATTGAGACGTGCGTATGATATAAGTAATTAAAAATCACACATAAAACTTGTCTAGGAATAAGATGCACAAAGAAGTAAAGTCAGTGTTCCCGCAGCTTGAAGCACTTTTCTGTAACAACGAGGAATAAAATCCTAAAATTATACTCGTGTATTTGACAATCGTCTTAAAAGCCTTTAAAATTCAACTGGCGACTTTGTCAACAACCTTTGGAGTACATACCTAAAAATAACGTAAATATTGACATCAAAAGTTTAGCTTTTCAGTTGACTGGTGAGGAGGGACGAGTTCAGCCCTGGACGATTGCCAACAACATCCGCTTGTAGTCGCCAGAAGTGTCACCCTGCGGGAAAGAGGATTGTCATATGACCGCGACTTTCGTCTTATTTTACCACGTTATATTAATAATTCCAACGAATTAATTAGGAATTCAGTGTCAACGACAAAAATCAGAGGTTGTAACTATTTATTACCCAACTCTATTGGAAGCTGCACGGGTTTTACTCACTCTGATGTCGCTCTCAAGAGTGCGGCCGAAGACGCGTTGATATTCGTGCTTGATGTTGCCGAGATCAATCTCAGCTCTCGTGACGATGATGCGGATGAGAGTGTCATCCTGTACGTAAGGCAGATGAAGTCATTATAGGAAAATTCAAGCTTATGCCATGCACAAACTCATCGGTTTCATGAAATGTAATAATTGTTTGATATTAGAATTTTCAGATATTCATTCGCTTATAGGTAAAGGCTATTGGCATGAACTTAGAGATTTCGAACAATAAATCTTCATCAACAGAAATTTATAAGCAGAATAAACTGAACATCGCGACAAATTACATTAATTGGAAATCCTATACCTAACTGCCACCAAAAACTAAGCCGTTAACTCGCTCCTCTTTCGGATCCTAAGAGGAATTTCCTAGCTACACGTTCCTAAAGCGCAAAAAACTAAGCCGTTAACTCGCTCCTCTTTCGGATCCTAAGAGGAATTTCCTAGCTACACGTTCCTACAGCGCAAAATAACTACCAATCTATCACCAATAATAATCAAGCCACCTATTACACGATGATAACTCATCTGCAAGAACACTCAAAACGGATCTCGGCAATAAATGCATAAGAATTATGAATTACCTTCCTTAAAAAATTTCTCTGCACAGTATTGAACTTCAATAGAAATGAATTAAAGCAACAAAAAAAATGCATTGAATTGAGCAACTCACTTTAGTTCCTAGGCCCCTCATGGCGTCGTGCAGACACTTGGCAAAGAACTGATGTCTGTTCTCAATGCACATGACCACGGCCAGCAGACCGGTCTTGATGTCGCCTGAGAACTCGCTCCTGATAGCGTCATACAGACTCTTGCCCTGGAAAAGTAAAGGCACTTATATGAACATTTAACATTTGATAGTTAAAAGTAAAGGCACTTATTTGAACATTCAACACTTTACAGTTAAAAGTAAAGGCACTTATTTGAACATTCAACGCTTGATACAGTTGCAAGTAAAGGCACTTATTTAGATTCAATACTTGATACAGTTAAAAAGTAAAGGCACTTATTTGAAGATACGACGCTTAATACAGTTTAAAGTATAGGCACTTATTTGAAGATTCGACGCTTGATATAGTTAAAAGTATAGGCACTTATTTGAAGATTCGACGCTTGATATAGTTAAAAGTATAGGCACTTATTTGAAGATTCGACGCTTGATATAGTTAAAAGTATAGGCACTTATTTGAAGATTCGACGCTTGATATAGTTAAAAGTATAGGCACTTATTTGAAGATTCGACGCTTGATATAGTTAAAAGTATAGGCACTTATTTGAAGATTCGACGCTTGATATAGTTAAAAGTATAGGCACTTATTTGAAGATTCGACGCTTGATATAGTTAAAAGTATAGGCACTTATTTGAAGATTCGACGCTTGATATAGTTAAAAGTATAGGCACTTATTTGAAGATTCGACGCTTGATATAGTTAAAAGTATAGGCACTTATTTGAAGATTCGACGCTTGATATAGTTAAAAGTATAGGCACTTATTTGAAGATTCGACGCTTGATATAGTTAAAAGTATAGGCACTTATTTGAAGATTCGACGCTTGATATAGTTAAAAGTATAGGCACTTATTTGAAGATTCGACGCTTGATATAGTTAAAAGTATAGGCACTTATTTGAAGATTCGGCGCTTGATACAGTTAAAAGTAAAGGCACTTATACAGTTAAAGTATAGGCGCCTATTTAGACCCAAGAAGCTTGGGAGTTGAAAGTGTGGGCTTTTATTTAGACCAGATTAGACCGTGGATAATTAAAAGACAGTAAAAATATCGGCGCCGCGCCTATTTAGAAACTAGAAAACTGAACGACAGTTTAAATTTATACTTTAGCCAGGGGCATTGAAAACGATATATGGCAAATAATTCTGTTGAGCTGTATTTGAGTGACAACTGTTGCAAATTTCAAAAAGATTATGATGATAATACCTAAAACAGGCTTTTACTTAACAATGTTTATGCTACATATATGCAAACTAATAGTGTACTACATTTATGTCGTTAATAGACGACCGCTTCTTGGCGGATGCGACATGAATTTTCCGACGTCATTACAAGGAGAATACGAACAAGAAAATTTATATTGTGCGCGACTATCAGAAACGAGGGATCCTCAAAGTCGTCCTTTTCCCATTTGCTTGAAAATTTCTCAACATGCTGAGCTACAGATGTCCATTTTTTATGAATACTCAGTCAGTTACGTACCAAAAATATTGGTACGTAACTGCAAGTATTTAGTGATTTAGCTCAAACTGGATTGGATGAGCTAAATTCAAGTTTTTTCCTACCTTAATTTTCTTGTACTCCTCGAGCACGGCGCGTAGCACCGGGAAGGAGTAGGAGGCCAAGATCCTGTTGAACTCGACTTCGTCCGTGCCCATCCTGCCCTCGCCTTTTGAACAATGTCGATTAGTAATTAGATCAAAACTAAATCAAATTGTTTTATTTCTATCATAAAATTTAATATCTAACATTTTCAAAGCAAGACATAGTATTTTAAGACAATATATCTAACTGTCAAGAGCCACCGAAAATCTATGGCTCATTAGAGCAACAGCGATTCGTCATGACTAATTTCACAACATAAAATCGTTAAAGGTGAAACGATCTTGCTACGAACTGCTTTAACTTAATGAAAATAATATTATACAGAATAGTAACATAATATAAAATAATTATATAGTATAATATAATATTGATATTAATACATAATAAAAAGACTCAGTCCCGCTAATTTACCCTCTACCGCCTGACATGAGTAACCGGAGCAATATTGTCGCAAGCCTACTTCCCAACAAGGATACGTTCTAGTGAGCGCAAAATGACTTGCACTGAGGGTTGCCGCCACGTACGACAACTTTAAAATGTTCTCTGTTGCGTACAAACGTCCTCGGGTACCTCAGATACACTCAATAGTTTACGTATAATAACAGGTTGTAAGTTATGTTCCCGGAGAACACATACGCGATACGGCGGTAGAGGGATGAAGGTGAAACGATCTTGCTACGAACTGCTTTAAGTTAATGAAAATGGTAGTATTATCCAGAATATTAACATAATATAAAATAATATTATATAGTATAATATAATTATAATATTGATATTCACTAACTAGAATCAGTCGCGCTAATGAAGCAAACATCACCTGCTCGGTAGAGCTGCTGCGCGAGCTGCGGAGCCAGGTTCAGGTTGTGGTTCATCTCATCGCGAGCGCCGGCAGTCATAGACACGAGCAGACGACGGAAGTGCCCTGAAGTGTCCGCCTCCAAGTCTTTTTGTAAAGGACGCCCGTATTTTCGGTGATACATCGCATTGATTTCGCTGTAATGAATATTCAAAACTAACAATTCCGGAATTAGACACAGATCTCGAGTGCGGATATTAGTGTAGTTAGGTAGAAGTTCTTCATTTATACAATTTGATTGAAGACCAGAGTGTACATTTTGTTAACAATTTTCTTGTTGCTCTTTTCAATAAGCCGAGCGAAAAACAATAAGAAAATTGTTAATAAAAAGTACGCTCTGGTCTTCAATCAACCCTGTATAAACAGATCTCGAGTTGCATCACACCCCAGTGTTATAGCTAAATTTTTCAGTTCGTTCGATTAACCCAAGATTTAGCTGACATAAAATTTTTGTTACTACTGCACGAGATTAGGTTTCACGCGTGCACTGCAATGTACGAGTAATTAAAATTTTAAAATAAGTTTTTTTTTCAGTAATTTTCAAGGTTGTTGTTGTGGTGTGGTGCCACAAGGAAAGTGAAGTAAAAGCAAGAAGCGGCACACATTTGCCACAAAGCATAAGGATAAAAATACAGGAAGAGACGAAATAGGCGCCATGAGCATGAATAGGATTGTCATTGGGGTTTGGCTGTTAAAACTCATCCTTTAAAAAATGTAAGAATCGATTTGAGTCTAACAACAACAATGACTTACCTAATCTCCCTGTTGTTTCGAGTGCACAGGATTTCGACCAACGTGTTCTCATTGGTACCGAGCCCCTTGGTCGCACTGTAGAGGTGGTCGACCAGTAACACAACTGTTGGGGTCATCATGGCGAGTACAACGCGCTCGAACCCGCCACTCAGCTCGCTCCTCAGATCCTTGATCAAATCCTGAAGATAAAGACAAAAATTTTTTATGTTTATACGCTTCTGGACCAATAGTAAAATTTGATATCAACATTGAATGACTTGAAGACGAGACTTTTTTGTTTTAATCTTCACTTCTATGAATGCAGCTTGAAACTTGATGTCGAAGAAAGTGAAATCCACTCTTTTGATCTTTAGAAACTTTGAATAGTAGCTGGTCGATAATAAATAATTGAATTCGAACCTTGCCATAAGCTTGTTTGTAAGACAATATGATTCTCTGACGCTGGTCACTGGTCCTGTTGGCAAGAATGTTGATGATGGAGGCTTCGTCGGTGCCGAAGCCCTTCATGGCCTTCCTCAGCATCGACGCGTCCGTCGAGGGGTCGAAGTTCCCCAGGAACCGAATCGTCGACTGGTCCTGGAAATGGGTATAAATTTCAGTCATCAACAACTAAAATGGAGTACAAAAAAATCAGGCTTGGATGGCGTTTCGGGTTGCCCGTCGAAGACCAACACTGCCCAGCGTCGAAGTAACTAACGTGATTCTCTTCCACCTTAAATGAAACTTCCACCAAATCTGATCTGTCACATTATCTGTTGCAAGCCATTAAAGTGAAAACATGCCCTTTGAATTTGACCAATCAACCTTCAGCAAAGAAGCCGGGAATAGTATGGCACAGAATACTACGCCAACATACGAAATAATTTTACACATCGAATAAAGTTCGTAGCAGAGTTTCAGCATTCATTGTCCACACCAACCAGCCGCCAGCATTATCCTTTGTATCAAATCAGCCCACGATCGAACGGCGCATGTCGACGAATGACGATTGATTTTTCAACCAAATTTACTATCTGAAACCTAACCTCAGATGATGCGAGTATTCATTACGCTCCGAGCTTTTCGCTCCTTGCTTGAAGGTGTTATTTCCAACCAAATGATGTTGTGGGCTGGTTACTGACGGCAGGCTGTATCCGAGGCTGATTGATGGCCTTACAGAGAGATGCTGAGCGTTCAATTCAGGGCTGATTGGTGTTCAAAATTGGTGGTGCATGGCTGCGCTCCCAGCGTTTTCATAATGACCTATACGTGGACGCAGCTTTTGTTAGCAACTGTAAATCTCTTCCGCAATTTTCCGGGTAAGAAATAAACATGAACAAAATAACACATGAATAAAAAGAAATTAAACATAAGAAAGTGAACAGAAAATTGTAAATTTTTAACCCCGTTTTTTATTAAAAATGTCACAGAAAAATTCGTGATACTGCTAGAGCAAGAAGAAAAATTTTAAAATTGAAAATTTATTCGTGCAGGTAAACAAGAGCACGAGAGATTTACACATTCAATGGCCGAATCCAATTTGCTTCAGTAGGCAGGTGACACTTATTTTCTTAATATCATTTACCGTACGTCAAGCTACGGACATTTACATGGCATAATTAACTTGAGTGTCAAATGCATGGCATAAAACAGATTGTTACCTCCATTATACGTACAATTAAGTCCTGTAATTAAATCCCATAGACATTTGTTAAAGGGCCTAAAAACTGCCCTTCTTTGGGAAGCTGTCACGAAATAATTTTTCGACGTAGAGGGATGATTCTGGCACCGTTGGATGCGTCAAAAAGTAAGCTTTAAGATGAGCCCAAAAAGTGGAAAACGCCAAAATTGAAAATTTTAGCCAGGTCGGTCCCCTTAACGGGAAGCCAATATAGTAATTCATGACAACTATTGCCTCTGAAGACTCTGATCAGTTTTCCGTTTTGATCGCCTACTTCTCAGCTCTGTCCATCTCCCATTCTCTCAAATTTCTATGGTTTTCATCTCAAATCAGATCACTTTTTTTAGACCACTCTCTTCCTCTTGACATATTTTTTAGATTAATGTCACTTATTTTTCTTAATATCGCATTCCCGTTCGTTTTCTTTTTGCTAATCAATTTCCTCGTCCCTTCTCATTTCGCCAATTTGTAAAATTTTCCATGAATTTTGCCTGTTTATTCACACAGTATACTATGTTTTTACCACCCTCGTGTACATTAGACTATAATGTCAACATTTCGCTCACTGCATTTTCTTTGAATTCTGAGCCTCTTCTATGAAGAACAGCCGTAAGACGGCATTCCCTTCCAGTTATGATGAGCGACCTTGAAACGGTGCGCGGAATGCATCCGTAAACCTAGGTAATTTGGGCCTGACTTAGAACAAGCTCGTTCGAATGTCCCGAACATGTATATTACGTATATACATACAAGTGCGAAAAGACGGAGAGATTCGGCTCCTTAGTTGCGTATATGATGCAAGGTTCCAGTTTGAATAAAAAATATACAGTAATTCATATTTTTTCACATTTACTTCGCACTGGAGCTGTTTGAAGGAACTCATTTAATTGGATGAAATTAATGTTAATTAAACAATCAAAGTGATTACTGATCAAATCAATAACTTCGGCTTATTACCAGTTTAATTTGGCGATCAAGTCCCTCAGAAGCTAGTTCGTGAAAGTTAATTTTAGAGTACCTGTAGGTGTGCAAGGAACGGGTTGAACACAAACGTGTTTTAAAGATTATCAATATTTGGTGAGTGACCAATTAAAAACCAAACATTTTGGCCTTACACATAGCGTCATTTTGAAATTCTGTTCACTATTGTGTCAACAGGCATTGGTTGTGGTGTCAGCGGATAATGGGCTTAGTAAATAGTAATGGCTTAAAGCAATTTAGGAAAGGGGGCAACTTTAACATTGTAGTTGCTACCGTCGTATAAACGGCTATTAAATTGTAAACTTCTCTTGCTTCTTTAACTCCCAAATCTTGATGGTCAAAACATTTTTTCACGGTTGCATGAAAACTTCAATTGGAAACCATGTTTACTTTAATCACACTGCTTGTCTTCCAGGACCTGACTGATTAACTGAAGAGCGAACTGGGCGGTAACTTAGAAAAACTTCAATTAGAAACCATATTTACTTTAATCACACTGCTTGTCTTCCAGGACCTGACTGATGAACTGAAGAGCGAACTGGGCGGTAACTTAGAAAAACTTCAAATTAGAAACCATATTTACTTTTAATCACATTGCTTGTATTCCAGGACCTGACTGATGAACTGAAGAGCGAACTGGGCGGTAACTTAGAAAAAATTCAAATTAGAAACCATATTTACTTTTAATCACATTGCTTGCTCTTATACACATCT